ATTCTATGCGTCAGGCTCTCAACCGACCATTGTACCAGCATGTTTCAGCATGCTACACACACAATAGTCGTGCTGGATACTGCTTGGCCTTGGGCGAGTGAAGCCTACGGGCTTTGCCGATTGCGCGCATACTTTTGCGCGCATAAACTTGTACGCGCAAGATCATACGGCCTTATCGTTCTGCAGGTCGTTGCTTCAAGCATGCTACAAAGTCAATAGCGGCGCTGGCTGCTGCCTGGCCTTGGGCCAAAGACACTTACGGGCTTTGCTGTTTGCGCGCGTACTTTTGTGCGCATAAACATATACGCGCAAGATCCCCAAGTAGGGATAGCTATGGGGTTCTTGCTGCAAATAAGAATGAGCTGGCTGCGCGCGCTTTCAAAAGGGTGTCGGTGCTGGTGCTGGTGTTGTGGTCCTGGGCGCTGGTGCTGTGAGCTGGCTGAGCGCGCGTTTAAGACGGGCGGCGGTGCTGGCCGGGTGCTGGTGTCAGCTGATTGTGCGAGGTGTCGTAAGCTGGCTGCGCAGGCTGCGTGCATTCTTGTTCCAGCCAGTCGCATGTCAACAGGTCGTGGGATTCTGCCTAGCTATCTGGGTCTATGCTGGTGTAATTCCATGTTTTTCCAGCTTTCAGTAAACCTTTTCAGGGCCGCTCTACACCAAATTGGTCATCGCCGGCTTTGGCGATTGCTCGTACACGTTGATGCAATTCCGTGCGGCGCCCATCAATTCAGTGTGCTCTTGGGAAGCAAAGCGTGCTTGATGCGCCGTTTGCCTACAATATGCATTCCACCACGATAGCAAAAAACAGGGACATGAGTTCTCGCTGCAGGATAGGTGGTCAAAATTTGTGGTAGTTGGTTTTCTTGTGGCGCTGGCGCTAGTGGCGCCGGTGGTGCGGGTGCTGGTGGCAGTGCTGGTGGTGGTGAGTCATCACAGCACGTCGCGACCTAACCCCCGCCTGAAAACACAGACTCCCACACATGTATTTTTACAATCCCATACCACACCATACATTGTATTTTTGAGGTTTGTGCGATTTCGTGTTTCGAAGTACACCCGTGATGTTTCACATGCGCGTGTGGTCATTGCCAGAACTCCAAACTTGCTTTTGTGTTTTCTTCTCTCTTCTGCGACTCGAAATTTGCATAACTTTCATTTCCATCTGCCCAAATAATCCCAAATAAATCCAAATAGACCGCATCACTAGCATCGCCTTCTGCCGCAATGCCACAAAAAATCGGTTTCTGGCACACCCAAAAGGTCGCAAATAGACAACTTCAGCCTTGCCTGTCGGTGAGACCCAAAAAAGAATTACACCGGGTTCAAAGGACACGCCACGGACGGCTGTCACCGCAGCACGCAACATCAGACCAGTCCACCAATATGCGCAACATCTATTGGCTGAATGCGCCCCCTTGGCCCAACACAGACGTAAAACTGCAAGATCGGCAAGGACCAGCCAAAGCAGCCCAAACGACACTATCATTGCTGCGCAACACGTTGTCACGCACATCCCTGCCATGATATGATGTCGTCCCTGCCATGACATGATGTCACCCTGGGCATGACATGATGTCATTCTGGGCACGACATGATGTCTTCCCTCGCACGGCTGGCATCTCACGATGCCATTGTGGGCATGACATGATGTCTTCCCTGGCACGACGCGATGTCATCCCTGGCATGACATGATGTCGCCCCTGGCCTGACATGATGTCATCCCTGGCATGACGGGATGTCATTCTGGGCACGGCATGATGTCTTCCCTGGCATGACTGGCATCTCACGATGCCATTGTGGGCATGACATGATGTCTTCTCTGGCACGACACGATGTCATCCCTGACATGATGTCGTCCCTGGCCTGACATGATTTCTTTCTGGGCGTGACATGATGTCATCCCTGGCATGACATGACGTCGTCCCTTCACATGACAGGATGTCTTCCCTGCCCTGACATGAGACGTCGTCCCTGGCATCCCTGGCGTGACATGATGTCATTCTGGGCATGACATGATGTCGCCCCTGGCGTGACATTGTGTCACTCTCGGCATGACACGGCGTCGTCCCTGGCGTGACAATGCTGTCCTCCTTGGCGTGAGGCGACGTCATCCCGTCATCCCTGGCATGACATGCTGTCATCCTGGCATGACATGTTGCTGTCCCTTGCGTGGCATGATGTCGTCCCTTTGCATGACAGGATGTCGTCCTTGGCGTTATGATGTCATCCCGTTGTCCCTGGCATGACACGTTGTCGTCCCTTCGCATGACATGATGTCGTCCCTGGCATGACAGGATGTCATCCCTGGCATGACATGATGCCCCCTGGCGTGACACCATGTCAATCTCTATATGTGGATGAGAAAAGTTGTTTGTGGATGGTTCTTGGTGCAGAATACAGAAGTAGTTTGGAAGCAGGCTTTGTAGGAGTTCTACAGCAAAGTTCCGTTGAAAAGGCGTTGGGGGATGATTTGGTCGGAACTTGGGGGACAGCATCATAAAACATTGTGGTGAAAAAACTAGCTGCTGGCACTAAAGGTCGGCCAGAAGGTTTCCGGCAGTTTGGAGAACCTGCTTCCGGGTCGGGCCCAGCATGACACTGATCAGGGAGGGTGAGACGTTCTTCCCCTTATTTTGACGATCGAGAATCATTTTTGTAGAGCCGCCTAGCGTGGCCAATCCCACCGCCGCACACCAGTGCCAAGAGGATGCTGCAGGGCCGGCAGGTCAAGGGCTGGCAGGTCAGCACCTCAGCAAACCCTCCACCACCAAAGCAAAGGACACCGCTGGTCCACCGGGCCCTTACGGCCAACCAACGAACACCCCAAGTCCCGAAAAACCACGCAAAGGCTTGCGCTCCTCGGCCCAGTTTGTTTCTTGAATGCGGGGACACACAAGTCCGCACAACTAGAGGGGACACTTGGGTCAACCCTGCATCACAGAATGACACGCAAGTCCAAAAACCAGCCTCTTGCACCAAGAGCTGGCATGCCCTGCATCGTGGCTCAATCGTCACTCCCCAAGAAATTCACACGTCCAGGATGCTGGCGTTGGTTGAAATCCCAACTTAATTGGATTTTGTGGCGCAGTTAATTCATAGCCCGTGTGTAGTGAGGCCCTTGGTCTGCAGGCAATAGCAAAGGGCGCAGCATCGTCGCAATCCGATGCTGCTCTGTGGGCTATCCCGCTGACACAATTCAGAACCCAAGGACCACCAAAGGGTCCCTTGGCCCCAAATCACCTAGAAGATCTGGAAAGCCGTCTTCATCACTAGAGGCTGCTAGGGAGCAGGGGCTATGTGGTTCTTGGCAAGAGGCTGGTTGGCTTCATCCTCAAGTTTCAATCAAGGGCAACAAACCGCACTCTTGTGGCACTTGAGGGGCCAGCCTCCTTGCACTGCCGCTCTGGCATTCCAGCTGTGCGCTGATGTCATTGCGACCATACAGGTCCACACATCTATTGCTTGCCACTTTGTGGTGGCCCTGCGCAGCACGAAGAGCTGGGGCAACACCGTGAAGGTTGGCATAGGTCAGCAATGTGGCTTTCAAGGAATGTAGGGTGAGCTGCGCCGCAAATTCAGGAGCTACATTCCCATGCGCGCACAGGCAACGCCTGAACTGAGCTAAGCCAACACTATAGCTCATGGGACCCCAACAAACTGCAAGAGGAAATCCCTTTTTGGATGCTGCAGTCGTATGGCATCAATGCGCCGAAACAAGGCCGTGCCCCAATGGCTTGAGCGAAATCCTACTGTGTGGCAGCCCCACACAAAAAATATCAATCACCACTACAACCTCAACCCAGCCAGGAGCTGCCACTGAAGCTGCCAACCGCAAGAATGGAGGTGCATGGAGGTGAGGGTTTGCAGTATCACCTAAAGGTGATCTGGTCCTACCCTGGCACAGCCGCATTGTGTTTTGTTTTAGCCCTGGCCGTTTCTAACGGTTTGCATACAGCCATTAAGAGTCATGAGAGCTTTGGTGTTTTCTTTCTGGGCCGTTGTCAGCAGCCTGTGCACTCACTGTACGGGGATTCTTTCTGTTGCTCTTCCTCCGCTGAGTGGGACCACTTATATAGATACATGACGCGGCATCTTGTAGTTATAATTTGATTGTGATGTATTGTATTGTGTCATATGAACGAGTTAACTCTACAAATACAGTATTGCTTCTCCTCCCCGTCTTCCCTGTTCAAAGGGGGCGGACAGACCCCAGGCCACCTAGTGACTCGTGACAATAAAGGTCAAGGAATCTGTGCAAGCAGAAGTTTCAAGGTCAATGTTGTATTTGCAAGGGACAGGCCTGCAAGACAGTTTTCCTAACATGCATAATTAGCTGCATAATGGATGATCAACATCGCAATCATTTGATGCTCTTGCAAATACTTACAATTGACATTTGCATGGTGTATAAAGGAGGAAACGATTGAAATTTGCAAGCACGAAGGAATTGCCGTCCTCAGATGGAATTTGCACATTGAAGTATAGCTGAGAGCTGGCAAACCTGGCACAAAGGCGCAGGGTCAGGCAATGCACAGCTGTTCAATCTTGCAAGCAAACCTGCAAATGCCATAATGTAAAGTCTACCAAGTTGAAACTCCTCCGTCAACCAGACGTGTCGGAAACAGCAAATGATTGATAAAGTATGATAAAGTGTGCTGATAAGGTTGCTGATAGGCACCAGTGCACTGCACCCACACTCACAGCCTGGTGGATTCTCCGGACTGCGCTGTGCACGTCGGAAGCGGCGGGTTCGGCTCTCCAATGACATGGCTCTGCCCCTTTTTAGCGTTGTGATCGCCGGGCACGTGTGCAAGACGGCTGCGGGGTCAGCACAAAAGCTCCAAGATCGCGAAAGCTTGCGCGATGCAATTTTGTGTTATTCAAACAAACTAGTAAGGTGAGAGATCAATGCAATCATTGATTGATCCTGCAAATTAGCAGAGATAAAGTAAGACAAGTGCTTTCGAAGCTTCCTCTGAGAAAAACATCCCAGGGCCCACCCTGATGGACACATCGGTCTGCGTGTGGAGCTGAGCAAGCTCTGCATCCTGGATATATGTGGAACAAAGGTGAGGTCGTGGATTGCTTTAAGTCAGTCCAGTCTTGAACCACCCAACAAAGCCTAGCGGCCTAGCAGCCTTGCACGATAAAAGCCGCTAACTCAAAACTAGACTGACAGGCGATGACAACCGGACATGTGAAAGATTTATAGGATTTCATGGGCACACCTGTGCCTGACGAAAAAGCCGCGACCACTGGCCAGGCGCTTCATCTGAGCTGTGTTTTGAGTGAGTTCAGCCCTATCCTTGAGAAGCTTCTCGGCTTTCTCCGCCTAGAGGCAAATTGGCATCAGCGATGAAACTTGCAAACGGTCATCTACTATCTACTACAATAATATCTGTCGAGCCAAAAGGAAAACAAAAACGGGCGTCGCAGCTCGGCGATGTGCGTGGTCAAAGCCACCCTTGCTATCATATCATATCTCCCAAAGATTAATTGCTGGCTGTCTGCCCAGACTGCAGTGTCTCAATACACTACATCACCACCATCTACTCAGCCTGGCCCTGCCTGCGACATGATACTCTTCTCCGATCTGTTCGGGCCGGTGACCCTTGAGCCCGGCCACGAGGCGCAGCTCTGACCAGCAACAAAATGCAACAAGCATGGTTTCAATCACCAAGTTACAGACTTCACCGACATATGTGTTTAAAACCATTTTTTGCTGTAGCTGAGATGCCCAGTTGTTGCAAAGAACGTCGGGAAACTCCTTGCACACCCTGTTCCAGAGTCCCCCCCATAGTTCGCTCCGTCCATGGGCCCTCCAAGACTGGCAGCTTGTTCTGGCTCAGTTGAAGCTCCTGAAACGGCAGGATTCGACTTTGTCACTGTGCACCCGCCATGTTTGCAGCTCGTGTCTCACAAGATTCACAAGACTTTTGGAGCAAAATTGGTTTCACAAGTCAATGCCTCCCTCTCGATGAAGACTTGCCAAACATTGAACGGTCCACTAGCCGCAGTATTCCGATTGACTTTGATTGATTGTAGACGCAGGTTGCTTTGGAAGGGTTAGAGCGGACTGCCTCCAGAGCTGCCGCTTCATTGATCCCTGGGTGTCAAAGCAAACTGATTCGCTCACTCGCTTATCTCACTTTCTTCATCCCCTCTCAGCATTTGGCAGTGTCCAGTGCAGAAATCAAAAGTACAATTCTCAGGATCTAGTCACATCTTCCTCGAGGTCCGCTGGCATTGAGAACTGTGTGGTGCTAAGGCCACTGCCATTGAGATCTGCCAGCTCATTGTCTGAGGCCTCATGGGGAGATTCCGTCCAAAGAAAGCTTGAGAAGCAACTGACCATACCATAAGATGTTCCTTCAATCACTCAAGTACCTCAATAATCTGTTCATCTATAATCCCCGCACATACACACACAATGCCTTTTCTGTTAAGCACTGTGCACAGAAGCTAGAGCACCTGAAGCCCTCTTTGGCAAACATGCACATGCGCAGCTTCAAAACGACCTCCAAAGGTCTTGGATTGCCTTACCCAGCCACCATGCAAAGGTAGGCAAATACTGCAAACAAGTTCAGGAGATCCAGCAGCATAGATATGCCATGTACCATGCCTTGGTCTTGAACGCAAGCTAAACTTGGTTGAAGTTGAAGGAAAACTTGTCGCGAGTTGACGTGAAGATGTTTTCCGCTCTGGCACCAGCTACAGCTGCAAGCTGCACGTATTTCCTTGATCTTCCGAGTGGCCAAATGTCTTCTTCACATCAGAACTCCCATCCAGCAAAGGCTGGTCTGCACTTCCGGTGGAAGTGTCATAGAGCTTGACCTGAAATTTTCTGGGCCAAAAGTGTTCACCACGCTACTCTCGCCCAACAACCCTGAGCGTGTGAATGCAGTTATCCGCCCTGCAGCATGGACAGAGAATGAAGTTCGAAGTAGTAGTAAGTAGTAGTAAATAGTAAGTAGTACGTAGCAGAAGAAGAAGTAGTAGTAGTAGTAGTGCTAGTGGTAGTAGTAGTCATAGTAGTAGTAGTAGTAGTAGTAGTGGTAGTGGTAGTGGTAGTGGTAGTGGTAGTGGTAATGGTAGTGGTAGTGGTAGTGGTAGTGGTAGTGGTAGTGGTAGTCGTCGTCGTAGTAGTAGTAGCTGTTGTTGTAGTAGTAGTTGTGGTAGTTGTTGTGGTCGTAGTAGTGGCAGTAGTCGTAGTAGTAGTTGTTGCTGTTGTTGTTGTCCTGGTAGTAGTAGTAGTAGTAGTAGTAGAAGTGGTAGTAGTAGTAGCAGTAGTAGTAGTAGTAATAGTAATAGTAGTAGTCTTTCTACACACGGAATTCTCACGATTCTCAGGGGTGACTAGGAGCAGTTGTGTCCATAAGGTACGCGCAATTTGCAGTTAACCATACTTGCAAATTTAGTTACGCCTCGCTAGTGGCATAAACAACTTACCACACAGCACCTGAGGGGTGGTTGGGAGTGTGTTAGCGGGAGGACTACCAGATTCATCCAGGACTTTCATGTTTCATACCCATGCTGCTAGGCACGTCTTTTGCAAGGGCAAACCACGGCTGGCGGGAGCCGCGCGTCCATATGGGCCCTCATACACTACAAGGACTTTCAATGACAATCGGGGTGGTCAACCTTCTTCCAAACGTCAAACTGCGCCATTCAAACGTGCCTCTCTTGTTCTCCCACATCTACATTCCCCCCGCCAGGATAGGCTCCTAAGGAGTGCTTCAACCAACAACTTACACATGGTGCCCTGCTTGTCGTAGCGCAACCAGCCCACTGACAAAGGAGGAAAATTCAAACAGGACCTGGCACAATATTGCTAGGTCAGCTATGCGGCGAAGCGGTTAGCTAACTGTCCAATGTTGAACCAGCAGGGTTAGTATTTCCCAGTCATAATGTCACAACAAGTCTTGCAAAATGTGTGCAAAACCATCTCACCGGCGCCGATACTTACAACTTTCAACTCCCAACTTCAGAAGAGAAAAGAGATGAAAAAATACATGTTATATAGGTAAGGCATGGTAAGGCTACACTGTTCGCGCTGTCGCAAATCCATCAACGATCCCTCAACACAAACACAGGGGGACGGATCTATTGCAGCCTGCTCTTGCACAAGGTTGCGGACATGTCACAACAACAGGCGAACACACACACATACACACTTATAGAAACGCGTACTGATTTGGTCGCGGTTTGCCACACGCCAGCCTAAGCAAAAAACCTAAGAAGTCAGGTGAAGTAAGATGAACCTGAAAAGTTCTAAGAAGCGGTTCGTGCAAGACTCCAAACTTCAAATCAGTTTCAAAAGTCAAATTGACAAGCAAACTCGAGCGACGCACGCATTAGCCCTTGACTGCACATCTGCCGACCTCTGAAACCTCACCAGCCTGGGATCTAGAGTGGATTGCGGGTACGTCGACAGGACGTCTCCCGTCAATGTCACGAGCAAGAGATAGGAGTTCTCGTTGGCACCGGCCCTATCCCTGCTCCAGGCGCCCCCTGCTGAAGAAAGAAGAAAAGTGAACAAACATTCCAAACGGACCCTTTTGATTCCAAAGGTTACACACACACACACACGCCTTTCCGAGGGGAGGCGTTTCTTTTCAATCACTCTAAGGTCCCGGCGGGTAGAGGGGGGTAGGGAAAGAAAAAAGAAGAAAGAAAAGGGGAAGAAGGTGTTCCCAGCTACGACACAAGCGTCCAAGGACACACCAAAAGAAGAGAGGAGAAGGGTTCCCAGCTATGACGAAAGCATCCAGGGACACCCAAACAAGAAGGAGGGAAAGGAAAGGAAGGAGAAAAGAGAGAGAGGGAAAAGAGAAGGAAGATTGAAGAGGACAGGTGTTCCCAGCTACGACCAAGCGTCCAAGGACACACCAGGGAGAGGGGTGAACCTGAGTATTACATTCAGGAACACCCCAACAAGCGAAGGGGGAAGAGAAGGAGGGTGGGGGGAAGAAGGGGATTTTATATAGGTAAGGCATGGTACCTCTTTGCGCTGTCGCAAATCCATCAACGATCCCTCAACACAAACACAAAGGGACGGATCTATTGCAGCCTGCTCTTGCACAAGGTTGCGGACATGTCACAACAACAGGCGAATGATTTGGTTGCGGTCTGCCACACGCCAGCCTAAGCAAAAAACCTAAGAAGTCAGGTGAAGTAAGATGAACCTGAAAAGTTCTAAGAAGCGGTTCGTGCAAGACTCCAAACTTCAATCCAATTTCAAAAGTCAAATTGACAAGCAAACTCGAGCGACGAACGCATTAGCCCTTGAACGCACATCTGCCGACCTCTGAAACCTCACCAGCATGGGCTCTATAGAGTGGATTGCGGTTACTCAACGCCACGCACAGTTGCAGGTAGGTCGACAGGACGTCTCCCGTCAATGTCACGAGCAAGAGATAGGTGTCCTCGTTGGCACCGGCCCTATCCCTGCTCCAGGTGCCCCCTGCTGAGGAAAGAGGAAAAGTGCAACAAACATTCCAAACGGACCCTTTTGATTCCAAAGGTTACACACACGCGCCTTTCCGAGGGGAGGCGTTTCTTTTCAATCACTCTAAGGTCCCAGCGGGTAGAGGGGGGTAGGGAAAGAAACAAGAAGAAAGAAAAGGGAAGAAGGTGTTCCCAGCTACGACACAAGCGTGCACCAAAAGAAGAGAGGAAGGGTTCCCAGCTATGACGAAAGCATCCAGGGACACCCAAACAAGAAGAAGGGAAAGGAAAGGAAGGATAAAAGAGAGAGAGGGAAAAGAGAAGGAAGAGGACAGGTTCCCAGCTACGAACAAGCGTCCAAGGACACACCAGGGAGAGGGGTGAACCTGAGTATTACATTCAGGAACACCCCAACAAGCGAAGGGGGAGGAGAAGGAGGGTGGGGGGAGGAAGGGGATTAAGACTCCGACAGGTTCGAACGAACCTTCAAAATACTTTGACCACAGTCACCTTGCGCCCTGCCAAAATGGCTGGCTGCTTAGACCGCTGCGGTCACGTAAAGGCATAAGCCAGGCTTGGAATTCAATAATTCAGCAAGTCTTGGCAAATAACTTTGGCCTATGCCTACTTCACCCGCTCTGGGCGCGTACATCTCCGGGCAGGGGAGATAAAGACAAACCCCCGTTCGACGGGTCCATAGGGGCCACTCTGCGGGGTCACCCTGGGCTCTCACGAGGAGAGACACACTTATAGACGCCAGCCTAAGTGAAAAACCTTTAAGAAGTCAGGTGAAGTAAGATGAACCTGAAAAGTTCTAAGAAGCGGTTCGTGCAAGACTCCAAACTTCAAAATCCAGTTTCAAAAGTCAAGTTGACTCGTTGACAAGCAAACTCGAGCGACGCACGCATTAGCCCTTGAATGCGCATCTGTCGACCTCTGAAACCTCCCCAGCCTGGGCTCTATAGAGTGGATTGCGGTTACTCAACGCCACACACAGTTGCAGGTACGTCGACAGGACGTCTCCCGTCGATATCACGAGCAAGAGATAGGTGTCTTCATTGGCACCTGCCCTATCCGTGCTCCAGGTGCCCCCTGCTGAAGAAAGAGGAAAAGTGCAACAAACACTCCAAACGGACCCTTTTGATTCCAAAGGTTACACACACACACACATCAACCCCGAGCTCAAAGTCTTCGGTGTAAGACACCATGAGTTGAGCAGTTCTCGGTCCAAGCACCAGTTGGTTCACCAAGGCCAACATTGTAGCAATGGTCATCAACAGCTTGGCCCATGAGCTTGGAGCACCACCCAACGCAAGTATGCAAGAGCCACTCTGGAGGGCAAAATATTCAGGAAAACAAGCCGCCTCGGGGACGCAAGGCTTCAGAATCTGCCAAAGTTCACAAAATTTGCTTTTAAAGAGTCCAGCAAGCACAAAATATATAAATATGTTGACATTTGCACCGTGAGACAACTGATAAAATGTGAAACTGCACCTAAGACCCTTGCATCGGATTGGATTACACATTACACCCTGTTGTTGTTATTTCATCTATCCCACTTAGTTTGAACATATTGCAATGTTCAAGCTTACATTCTGGCTAGATCCCCCTGCTGTGAATTCACCCTAACCCTTAGAAATGTCATTTTACACATCCAAATTGCGACCAGCAGGGTTCTGCGCAATAAAATCTGGAGACCAAAGGTAGAAAAGGCTTCAGAATATAGAATCACACCTCCCAGGGTTGCAATCCGGACCTGATGAGACCTGCTGCCCCAACCCAATGGCAATACCAGGTCGATGTGGCCTCATTCTAGCGACCAACGGACTTCGATGCTCTCCGATGATCCCCAACACTTAC